GGTCTTCTGCCGGACTGGTTGACATGAGATGCGGAATGCAGGAGGTATGAAAGTCTGATAAAGTTTTAGCTACGATTGAGGTGGGTTAAAACGCGGTCATCTGAATAAAGTCACACAGCGCAACCACCGCCTGCACAGCCTTTTATGATGAACTTTGGATGCTTATTGGCTTTTGTGGAGGTGTGGTTCAAAGCTGATTGGCTGTGTCGTAGGTGGATGTAGGAGAACAGTTAGTTTCTTCAGTTGAACTTCCGTCTAGGCTACATTTAAACCTGCACACGTTTTGGGCAGAGAAAAAGCGCCAGCTGCTTTATTTTTTTATGTTTGTCCACATTAAGGTCTGATGCGCCTCAAGAGCATCTTTGATGTTCCCTGAAGCGTGTCCAGTAAAGTGTATCAAGATGCATCTGATGCTTCTGTGTTCAATGGCAGAGAGTAGCTTTGCTATATTTGCCGTGATCAGTGGGTAAAAAGTAGTTTTATTATTGTTTTTAAGTGAGAAAGTCCACCTAAAAACCTCATCTGTGCACTCCGTTCATCAAGATTATGATCCTGGCTTAAAATTTTATTTTGCTGTTGGAGCTGCTCAGATCCCCACATACACATACAGCTACTGTTTGTGGCGGTTGGAAGTAGATGTTAGCATTTTTCATGTACGTAATCCAAAATACAGGCACCAGAATAACAAAATTGAAGATATTTTGCTGGCAGTTTTTAAGATTTTAAGTTAATTTAGGCGTTAATGAACAGTTTCATAGCAATCTGCATCAGCAGGGCTGTATCTGTGTCCCTGCTAGCCTCAGATCAGCTTCTCTGATTGGTTAAAGTTGTGCGTTCAAGCAGCAAAAACATGTTTAAATGCTATTTACTATTAACCTTTTTTTACTCCAGTAAGAGTATAAAAGGTATTTGGTACTGAGTTACTCATCGCAACATCTGATTGACTATTTAATCTTATATAATAACAAGTATAGTTATGTTCAAATTCTAGTATTTTAGACACTATAATAAAATGTATTAAAACAAACAAATACATTTAAAAAAGAAAACAACAAAATTATTCCAGATTTATTTACAATTTTTTTTTACATAAAAGCTGTACCTTCAATTTTACTACCTATTGTATATTAGATATAAACAATAACTGTGTGACTTAAACTACTAAAAGTACATTTCTGGTAAAAGCCACTGAAGTTAATGTAACTAGTTACTACCCACCTATAACTGTATTGAAGTTGTTTTTCAGTCCCTACCTTTTAATCTTCCTACGTTCCTTCCTTCTGTCTCTGAATTTTCAAAACTTTATAAAATATTGGAATTTTTGAAGAGGAAGAAAAACAAGGAACAACCAATGTTAGTGCTAAGAGTCAAGGTTGGCTATTAAATATAAATACATCTGATTGATATCAATAGTTAATACATCCAATCATTTGTTCTTAAATATAAAACTCTGATCCAGAAAGGATTTAGTCTCTTTATCTCACAGCCAAACAAAGCAAGGCTGGTAGTGGGGCTGGCATATTTTTAAAGTTAGAGAATCATCACCATTAAAATTCTGTCTTATCCTTTGGTCCATAGTTCAAATAGGTAAACTAAAACGCCATTCAGTATTTATGGACAACAACTGATTTAAAAATCTCATATTGTGATACATTTTCTGAGATATATCATACAGTTTTAGTACTAGCTTTATTGCCACATTTTTATTAATGTAAAGAGCTTAATTCTTAATGTTATTTAGATTTTAGTAGCAAAGAAACAGAAGTTCTTTTGGGGGATAATATGAAAAATATGTAAAATAAAACAAGTAAAAAGTCTTTTTTTTTTCTGAATCAATCCTTTGTTTTCCCATTACTGTATTGCCTAGAGGCCTGAAGCTGGGTGAGATCTTTATATTAGTTTTTCTAGCTGAAGTCTTCTGTCATTCCAGACAGGACAGCCACAGAATTAGTAGATGAGTCTCTCCTGTGGGTAGAGCTTTCACTTTGAGGCTCCTGCAGCTCAGCCACTTATCATGTAGCTGAGTCAGAGCATGAAGGACTTCATTAGTTCTTTCCAGAGAGCTCACAGTGTCGGTTTGGACAGGAGAAGGTGAAAACGACGGCTGCTGCGACCATTGAGGCGACCGATCTCTGCTTCTAACAAAATATCTCACCAAAACTGACACGGATCAGACTGAGCTTTGGAAATTACTGGATGCTGGTTTGAAATGAATAAGAATTGTGAGTGACAGGTTCAGTCTCAGTCTAAAAGTTGCGATTACTGAACACAAGCAGTGATTTTCTGTACATGAGAACAAGAACTAAAGGCTTAATGGATATTCTGAGAGCTTTGAGAGAATGAAACGTAGCTGTATGGTGCCTATACAGCCTGTAAAGTGGCTGCATGCTGTTTTCAATAAAGCACAGCTGAGTGGAGGTTCGTACAGCAGTGAGCTTATAGTCTGGCCAGGTTCATGCTGATGTAAAGATCCCCATGAGCGATACGCCCCCGTGGTTCCAGTCAGGGGAGAATGAGGACACATGTCGGTTTGAGCGCCATCATCGTGTGTCTGTTCC